CCTTATTCGTCATCAAGACGTGTATTCCCATTTGTAAACCGTTCTTATTGGGACTTAAAACATAAAAGACAATCCCAGATGACGATTCCCACCTAATAGCACTGCCTAAAAGACAATCCCAGATGACGATTCCCACCTAAAAGCACCGCCTAACCCCCTCACACACAGGCCGAACAACGGGAAGCAACCAACTAGGATGCCAAAACAATAAAAGAGAACCCGGATGACTGGTCCCACATATATCGTCACAAACAGAACTGCCCGGTAAACCGTAGGCAGAGAGAGAGAAGAGGACAACAAACGAGGGGTTGTGACAAACTGTATATCGTACAAATGCCACATATATAACCCACACACATTTACAATTTATTTTCTTCATATACAATTGTTTCTTTTTAATAATTTACAGTTTTTTTTTTTTTCATTTACAAATTGGGTTACACATATAAGCACATATGCATTTACACGACTACATCCTTCCACCTGAACCACTTATAAGCACTACTCCAAGTCCAGCTGAAGGACTTCCAAGCTTGATCTCGACACGCAGCCCGATGCCTCGTGGCACTAACTGAAATTAAAAAAAGCTATTTTCATCTGCTTCGGTCGTTCTTTTTTTTTTTTTTTTTTTTTAACATCAGTGGTTTTCCTTCAGTCTTGTCGCGGTAAGAGCGTTTTATACAAGATTGAAGTTGGTGGGGGGCTGCACCTGTGCTGGAAATCGGGCGCATCGTCCCTTGCCTGCTCCACTTCAGTCAATCTATTGGACGATATTTTTTATTAAAAAAAAGGAAAAAAACTAAGAAAAAGAATATTTCGGAAAATACGAGAAGCTGCCACGTGTTCAGTCGATACCTATCTACGTCCGTGATTCAGCGGATCAGTGGGGTGAAATGACATATCAGAGGAGAAAGCAAAAGGACAAGAAAAAAAAAATAGAGCAAAAGGACAGGAAAAAAAAATAGGGTGGGAGCAAGGGGTGAGAGGGCTGGAGGAGATGACGGAGGGGTTAAAAGAGGAGCAGGGAGATGGGGACGGTGGGGGATGGCGATGGGGAGGCGGGGGGGGGGGGGGGGGGGGGGGGGGGGGGGGGGGGGGGGGGGGGGGGGGGGGGGGGGGGGGGSGGAAGAGCTGGAGGATAGGGATGGAAGGGAGGAGCTGGGAGTGGAGGGGCATGGGTGCAGGTGGTGGAAGGGGGAGTGCAGCAATTTTCAGACAATGCAAGACAAGATTGACGTACGGACACAACAGCACCCATCGATAGTTTTAGGGGGAAAAAAAATGATTTTATACGAAATAGAAATCATTTCAGTGCTTAGAAGAAGTATTATCGGTATATAGGAAAGTAACCTCGTTTAATAGCTGTCAAACTCGAGCAGTTATTCATTGTTTCCGGAGGTAAGTACGGCTTGGTTCTCAGTCGAATGACTGTAAGCTAACTGGCTGACGCTGCCAGGTTAACACCGGGTTGAATTGTGAGGTCCCCGGCCTCGATTGCTTTTGAGAAATATAAGTTTCATTTCACAAAAAAAAAAAAAACAATCATTTCAAATAAAACGATTTTATACGGAATAGGAAAACAAAGGGGGGGAGGGGGGGAGGGGGAGGAATTAAGGGGGGGGAAAAAAGAAGTAACCATCTCAGCATATTAGAACGGAGAAATCATTTCACATAAAAAGATTGTATACGGAATAGGAAAAGAAAGGGGGGGCAAATTAGGAAAAAACAAAAAAAAGCAGCCATCTCACCATATTAGAACGAACAGAGCGAGGTAGGACAAAAAGATGAGACCAAAAAAAATAAAAAAATAAAAAATAAAAGATGAGACCCGGCGAGCCACGGATCAGATAAAAAAAAAAAAAAAAAAAAAAAAAAAGAGACCCCGCGCAATTAATGGCTGACCGGCGATTACTAGCGATTCCGCCTTGATGCAGGCGAGTTGCAGCCTGCAATCCGAACTGAGACCGGGTTTTGAGGTTAGCTCGCCTTCGCAGGGTTGCAACTCTTTTATCGCGTCTGCCACTGAGGTCATTACTCACACTCGCACTGTCCAAAATGCATCGGAGCACTATTATGGCTAGACCTGGATGAATCTGACCACAATCGCGTCCAGAGCTTTCTAGGAAAAGTCCCGACTGTACGTAGGCCACTGAGACAGCCACCTGAGTCGACCTACAACTTGTCAGTCTTCTCCCTCTCTCTCTTCCCTTCACTGAACTCTTCTCCCGCCAATTCTCTCTCACACACTTCTCCCGGCAAATCTCTCACACACTTCTCCCGCCAATTCCCTCTCACATAATTCTCCCGCCAATTCCTTCTCACACACTTCTCCCGCCAATTCCCTCTGACACACACGTCTCCCACCAATTCCCTCTCACACACTCTTCCCGCCACTTCTATCTCACACAGGTTGACAATCGCCTGGCAAACACTCCGACGCACAGCTATGAGAGAGACTCTCCACAAACCACACTACTCTCGTACAGACTCCCGCCAAATCTCTCACACACTTCTCCCGCCAATTCCCTCTCGCACACTTCTGCCGCCAATCCTTTCTCACACACTTTTCCCGCCAATCTTTTCCCACACTTTTCCCGCCAACTCTTTCTCCCGCCAATCCTTTCTCACACACTTCTCCCGCCAACTCTTTCTCACAAAGGCTGACACTCTCTCGCACACGCTTCGACGCACAGCTCTGAGATACTCTCCACACACAAAGCACACCCGCTTACAGAATACCTTACGCACACTGGCTCTGTCGCACGTAGTCGCACGTAGAGCCTCAGTACTCAACATTATACATGTATCTGGACGGCCTGTGGAGCAGGTTCATTCGCCGGAATGATCCAAAATGTATCACCACCATTATCGGCTCCAGATACAGTTAGAATTGTGTGCAGTGCAGCGAGGCCCCTAGCTTGTCTGTCGCACATGCATAACCCTTTTCCCTTGCATGCTCTCACACGCTCTGCTATGAACGCACGCTGTCAGAAAGTATCTCAGGCATCCTGTCACACACCGTCACACACAATCGATGAAGACCCCGACGTACCTCTCTTCACAGTCATAATTTGTTCGGAGATGCGCGTTTATCGAGAACACACGCCGCACAGGCGCAAAGAACCCCCGTCGTTCGATGTCTCTCACAATTACTTTCACTGGCAAAAAAAAAAAAAGAAAAAGAGGATTGGCCCTGTCACGCGCACCTTGTTTTGCTTTCATCGTTCTCGTACTCTCAGTCACTCCGAGGCTCGTTCCACTGCACAACATTTTCTAAATGAATTTAGAACGGACACGGTCCCGATGCATTCAAATGTCGAGTGAGTCCGAATGTATCTGGACAAAATACAGGGCAGATGCTTCGGATGGTGCGTAGTGGAGCGAGACCCTTTATCCCCGCTGTCACAGACTGTCACACGCCCTCACAGTCGCACCTTCCAAACTAGAACACACGTTCTCTCTCTCTCTCTCTCTCTCTCTCTCTCTCTCTCTCTCTCTCTCTCTCTCTCTCTCTCTCTCTCTCACATACAGTGCAGATGCTTCGGATGGTGCGTAGTGGAGCGAGACCCTTTACCCCCGCTGTCACAGACTGACACACACCCGCACCTTCCAAACTAAAACACACGTTCTCTCTCTCTCTCTCTCTCTCTCTCTCTCTCTCTCTCTCTCTCTCTCTCTCTCTCTCTCACACACACACACACACACACACACACACAGTAGTAGCTCATTCTCGCACACTCAGACGCGTTGCTCTCTATCTTCCAATCCCCACTGTTACTCTCGAGTACCTGTCTCTCTATCGCGCCACGTTTCTGTCACATGTCCTCCCGCTTCTACAGCCCTCTCCCGTTTTCCTCTTCAGCCTTCCGTCCAACAACCTCATTTCATTCATGTCAACCTCACCTCCCTCCTACCACCGTCTCTCTCCCTCTCTCTCTCTCTCCCCCCCCATACCCATCTGTCATCCAGCGCGTCTCGGCCACACATCGTACACTCCACCCTCGCGCAAAAACACACGCACCCAGACACACCGACATACACGAACCCGCTCACGCACATGAACATGCGCGCGCACACACACACAGATCAACGCAGCGGCAAAGAGATGTAATCGGAGAGACAATCAGCGATTGAACCACATCGGTGGCACCACCGCACTCAACACACTCCACCCTCGCGCAAAAACACACGCACCCAGACACACCGACATACACGCACCCGCTCACGCACATGAACATGCGCGCGCACACACACACAGACAAACGCAGCGGCAAAGAGATGTAATCGGAGAGACAATCAGCGATTGAACCACATCGGTGGCACCACCGCACTCAACGTCAGTCCATGAAATACGACCAGCAAAGGAACACTAAAATCCGTCGGCTGAAAAAAAGAGCATCTCACCTTTACCAAACGTCATTTTTTTAGCACTTCAAGAGAACACTTCTCGAGCAGTCTCCAGCCGATATCTTTCCGCCAATCAAATGAAAGCACCAGTTTTGCGTATCAAATTATCAATCAACCAATTTCACGGCTCGCTGAGCTTCTGGATTCTTATGCTCTCCGTTGATCTTTTCCTTTTGGCTCCTGAGATTAGCGACAGGAAGTCCTATTATTAAAAAAAAAAAAAAAAAAAAAAAAAAACAGATCTATTCCGCGCAAATTACGGGCCACGCCAACATATGTCAATATCTGTATCAGTGTGTTTTCTCATGGTCGCTATACACAACTCCAATACAAAAGGGAAAAAAAAAAAAAAAACTTACAAGAGGAAAAAAACGTGCTAGACTGCGCTAGACGGTTTCGTCGGACTTTACCTCTTCACCATTCTTAAAGAGAGGAGAGAGGGGGTAGGGTGGAAGAGTACTCCAAGTCTAATGAATGTACAAGGGGGGAAAAGAATCAACTGACAAGAGGAAAAAAACGAGTGCTCAGAACCATCTGGAACTGATGGACATGATTGAGGGGCGGGGGGGGGGGAGGAGGAGGGAACGAGCCATGACGTTCACCTTAACCCTCTTAATGTTATCGTTAAAAAATTCACATTGATGGACATGATGATTGGACCGTTTCAATCTGGAAATAATTAACCAGGGTGAAATCCTTATGCACCAGGCTAGTTAAAATAATTGTACTTCCCAGAATTGCTAAATGACCACAAAACAGAAGAGGGGAAAGAAAAAGGAGAGAACTTGGAAGAGAAAAAAGCACGTTCCAGAGCGCCTAATACATCTCGCTGCATTCTTTTTGCTACCCCCTATACAACGAACAGCGACTAGATACATCCGCGTAAAAATCAGGATTAAAACAAGATAAAATGTCGATAACACAAAAAAAAAAAGAGCAAAAAAAAGAATTAAAAAAAAAAAAAAAAAAGCAGAGAAAACCATCTCCATGTCTCGAGGACCGATAATTGCTAACTGCCAGTCTGCCACTATCGATCTCTTGGCAATTACAAATTTACCCCTACAGGTATATTTGACAAAAAAAGGACAAAAAACCAAGTAAAATCGTCCTCCCTAGCGTGGATTCAGCCAGCCGCCTCAGGCTACCGAGTCCGTCCCCCCATTCTCTACCAAACCCCCTTTCTCCATGCTCTCGCTCTCCCTCTCTCTCCCGCTCTCCCTCTCTCTCTCTCCCTCTCTCTCCATCTCTCTATGTCTCCCTCGCTCTCTCACCCTCCTCACACACTCCCTCGCTCTCCACTGGATCAACAACAGCCAGTGGGCTGAGGACTTACTCTGTCTGCCACAGTGTAGACGGACAGACCCTTTATTATCTCCCCCTCCCGCCCCCCTTTCTTTTTGCCTCTACCTTCCCCCTTGCATTGTAATAATATAGACACTGGGCGGGCGACTCTCTCTCTCTCTCTCTCTCTCTCTCTCTCTCTCTCTCTCTCTCTCTCTCTCTCTNTCTCTCTCTCTCTCTCTCTCTCTCTCTCTCTCTCTCTCTCTCTCTCTCTCTCTCTCTCTAAAATTCCTGTGTATAGGGAAGGGGGTCGTAGGGGAGGGCGAGGAGGGGGAAGGGGCAGGGGGCAGGAGGAAACAATAGTCGCGCGCGCAATACACGTCTTTGTTGATAAAACAATAGAAAGAAGAGCATCCGATCGGTCACATAGCTTCCATATAGCCGGGGAAACATGTCCCCACCTTCTTGGGTAACTTCGGTACACAGACGCTGATAGATAGATAGATAGATAGAGAGAGAGAGAGAGAGACAGATATACAGATAGACAGATAGAGAGAGAGAGAGAGAAACAGATAGATAGGTAGATAGATAGATAGATAGATAGGTAGATGGATAGATATAGATAGATAGATAGATAGATAGATAGATTGATAGACACATAGATCTAAAAATGGGTAGAGTGGTCGTTAGATCGAAAGAAGAAGTTTGCGTGATCGATGTACCCACGAACCGACCAGCCACAGCAAGCAGTACGCCTCGCTGCTCCTCTTCTCTCGAACAACCACAGCAGCTTGTGCCTTGTCTTCCTCACAGCCCCCTCTTCTGTTGCCGTTCCAAATCAAAAGTCTTCAGTCTCGAGGTGCGCTTTCGTTCGCACGTTCGGCGCCGCCGGCGCCCTGGACGCACCTACTAACGCCGTCTGCAGTGTCTCTCCCTTCTCCGTCGCTTGATTCATCTTGCCTATCTTCGACTCCCGCTGTAATCTCGTTGCAGCAAGTATTGCTCCAACGAGAACGATCGCGCCAAAAACACTACCCACAGTAGCACCCACAATTACCCTCCACGGTTTGCCTTCGTCACTCGTCGATTGTTGGCTGATTCCAGGAGCGTTAATCCCAGAAGAAGGAGACGAGGCGACACTTGGTAGCTGCTTCGAGGGCGATGCAGTAGATGGAGAGGCAACGGAGGACGGAACGGAAGACTTTGACGACGGCGAGACCGAGGACATAGGAGATTCTGAGGAGGTACGAGGGACAGAGGGAGAAAGGACGGAAGAGGGAGGCACGGCGGAGGGAGGCGTGGAAGGAGGTACGGAGGAGGGGGGAGTGGAAGGAGGAATGGACGAGGGAGGAGTGGAAGGAGGTACGGAGGAGGGGGGAATGGAAGGAGGTACGGAGAAGAGGGGAAGAGAAGAAGGAATGGACGAGGGAGGAGTGGAAGGAGGGATGGAGGAGGGAGGAGTGGAAGGAGGTACGGAGGAGGGGGGGAAGGGAGGGGGGGGGGAGGGGGGAGTGGAAGGAGGAATGGACGAGGGAGGAGTGGAAGGAGGGACGGAGGAGGGGGGAATGGAAGGAGGTACGGAGAAGGGGGGAAGGGAAGAAGGAATGGACGAGGGAGGAGTGGAAGGAGGGATGGAGGAGGGAGGAGTGGAAGGAGGTACGGAGGAGGGGGGAAACGGAGG